ATGGAAACCAATTTGACAATAATTTTCATATATAAATAAAAAAATAAATAAAAAAAATAAAAATAAATTAATTAATGTTGGGTGAAGAATGAGTGAATGAAATAGCCTGGAATACCAGAGCAGGAGGGGGCTCAGAGGTCACTGAGCCTAGTCTCTCATCGAAGACTGAGGCTCAGGCAGGAGAAGGCTTTACTCAGGGTTTCACAGGGCTCCTGTGGCAGAGGGGTATTGTATGGCAGGGAGGATGAAGAAGAACGTGTATGACCCTGTACAGAAAAAGCTCTGTGAAAGTGGAAATTCTGGACACAGAAATTTTTTTTTTCAGCCTTCCAATCAAGCCTCTTGACCGCTTTCCACTCAGGCCTAGATAACAGCTCTGAGCTCTTCATGCACGCTATCTACTTCTCTACTTCCCTTGCCATTGCCCTTGTGGTTCCTTCCACTCGAAATGCCCTCCTTCCCCCACACTGCAGTCCACTCAGGGCTCTATTGGCTCTCTCTGGCTGACTCCCAAGGAGTTGGACTCTTTCCTAGGGCTGGTGCTACAGAGTGGGAGCCCCAGGATGTGAGCTGATGAGAAGGCAGGGGAGGGAGGGGGGGAGGAAGGATGCTCTTTGAGACACTCCTCCCCTGGAAGCCTTCCATGATGCTAGGCTGGGGCATGGGCTCCTTCAGTCCCTGTGCTTCCCTTCTCACACAAGGGACACACTGTAGGGTTTTTCTTTGCCCGTCTCCTGTCCCAGACTGGGAACCCCCTGGAGGCAATACTGAGTCCCCTGAGAGGGCCTGACACAAAGTCTGCAGCACGAAGGGTTTCTTGGGTGGATCACTGGATGGATGGATGGATGGATGATGGATAGATGGATAGATGGATAGATGGAAGGGTGGATAGATGGGTGGGTAGTTAGATGGGTGAATGGATCGAAGGGTAGATAGATGGGTGAATGGATTGATAGGTAGATAGATGGGTGAATGGATTGATGGGTAGATGGGTGAAGGGATCGATGGGTAAATACATGGGTGGATGGGAGAGAGAAGGAATAAAGCTCAGGCTTCTTAGGTTGTTCTCCAAGGGATGGGCATCTATCTGTTCAATAGGCCCTCAACAAATTCTCACTGGGCTAAACAGGGGCTTCACTACTCCTCTCTAAAATTCTTTCATTTTTTAATTTGTTCATTCACTCATTCATTCTTTCATTAACATCTTGGCTTCTTGTGAGGACTAAATAAATGCATGAAGGGGCGCCTGGGTGGCGCAGTCAGTTAAGCGTCCGACTTCAGCCAGGTCACGATCTCGCGGTCCGTGAGTTCGAGCCCCGCGTCAGGCTCTGGGCTGATGGCTCAGAGCCTGGAGCCTGTTTCCGATTCTGTGTCTCCCTCTCTCTCTGCCCCTCCCCCGTTCATGCTCTGTCTCTCTCTGTCCCAAAAATAAATAAACGTTGAAAAAAAAAATTTAAAATAAATGCATGAATACACCTAAATACTCAGAACAGTGTCTGGTACACCATAAGTGGTATGTGACACCGTTATTACTATTTCGCAAACATTTCCCGAGGACTTACTACGTGCCAGGCCCTGACGGAGGCTGTGTTGTAATTCACCCCACCTCAAAAATACAGTGACATACAAGCAGGCCCTCACTAAGAGATGACCAGAGGGTTTCAGCCCTCCGTCCCAAGACAACCCCACTCTCCAGGACTGCCAGAAGGACCCACCCGGACTGGGACTGAGAGAGTGGAGAGGAACAGAAAATGCCCGTTCTGACCAACAGGCCTGGGGATGGGCCCTGGTGCATGGTAATGTGGCTCCTCACGTACATCTCCAGCCCAGCCCTTCCTGGTCTTACCGGGGCTGGCACGGTCGTGGCGGTATGGCTCCGAGATGAAGTGTGGGAGACTCATGAGCAGGCCTGCCAGGGCCACAAGGACAGCCCCATAGCCGATCAGTCGGGGCCGGTGGACTCGGCTGCCAAAGTAGCTCACAAACACAATCAGGGCTGTGTTTCCCACCTGCCGAGGGATGAGGGGACCCATTCGAATGGAGCAGAGCTGCCAGAGGCCAGCACCACCCTCACTTCTGTCACCAATCTGGGGTTCCCATCCGAATAAAGGACTAGCTGGCTGAATGAGAATCATCTGGGCCCCTCTTATGCAGATTCTGGGTCCCCCTAGGAGGGTCCCCACTGTCCCATTAGGGGAGAGAAATGAGGGCAGAGCGGACAAGGCTAGCAGTTCAATTTCATTCTGGAAAATGGGTTGGACCCCATGTTAGAACACGGAAGAGGGGGGACAGTTAAGGAAAGGGTTGTTAAGTTTCTGGGATATCACAATTGAGGCAAACAAATAACATCTAAAGCCAGAGGACTAAGAATTTCTTGGAATTTCAAGCCTTAGAATAAAAAACTTAGGATGTGGGCACTGGAGGGGACTTGAGAGCTTGCAGCGATGGGGCAGGCTCTACGACCAGAAGCTGAGAAGGTAGCCACTCTCCATTTTATAGACAGGACACTGAGGCTCTGGGGGGTTGGGGGGGCGGGGTGAGTGGTGGAGTGGCTTCCCTAAGGTCCCAGAGCTAGGTAGTGACCTTTCCTTCCCACCTCTGACATCTGGAGGTGGGGTCTGAGAGATATCTGAGGGTGCCGTGTAGTCGGCAGGCCTTGGGTTGAATGTGACACATCACCCCAGGGGGAGACAACTGCACAGAAATCTGCTGTGGGGAGGGGAGAAAGGGTACTGTGGACAGTGGCCCTTCTCTGAGGTGGAAAACATCTGGTGGAGGGGGGGGGCTGGGGCACAGCTGGACCCTGATCTCTAAATCCCCCCAAAGTAGCTTGTCCCCTCCTCATCGCTTGGCTGTCAGCCCCAGACTTGTGGATCTCTGGGCAACTCTGAGGAGACACTCATCCCATGGTATGGCTCCCTTCCCCCACCACCCACTGGTCCACAGTTCTGCCTTTGATCTAATTTAAATCTCTCCCTCTACTATTGAAGTGACTTCCTCTGAGTCCTTCCTGGGACAGGCAACAGCCAGGTCCCTGGAAAGGTAAAGGAACCAAAGGGAGAGTGGGTGGACACGGGAATTCTGACTAGCTCTAAAATACCCCATACCCCCCGTTAGAGTGCCCCTGAGGGCAGGACTGCCAGTGCTCTGACGCTACAGGGAGGCAGAGGTCAGTTTCTCTACCGGAACATGAGGAAGGAGCTGGCTGAGGAGAAAATCTTAGGGGAGGAAGCTGTAATGGGGTCGCCTGTGGGCACCAGGAGGGGAAGGGCCTATGTCAGGGTGGTGAGAGAGGAGGATGAGGAGGCCAGGTGAGAGTCGCCCTCAACGCCCACCCCTGTGACTGCTCCAGGGCCAGTACCTCATTGAAGGCAGCCAGCAGCCCTGAGGTCTGACTGGAGAGGCCGAAGCGCTTCTCCACTGTGGAGATGGAGCTCTTGAGGTAGCCGGAGATCATGAGCTGTGCCAGCTGCAGCAGGCTGTGGCACAGGACGAAGAACTGCCGGAGGGGCCAAGGCGGTGGCAGCCGGCGGGGCAGCAGGGAGACAGGTGGGGATGCAGTTAGAGAGGGTGGTGGTTGGGAGACAGAGACGGAGTTGGGGGAAGGGAGGAGCAAGGAATAAAGATGGGGAAATAGAGTCAGAGGAGATAGACACACAGGAGAGAGAGAGAGTAAGGGTGGGAGGGCCAAGAACAAGAGGGGCGAGAGAAAGAGAGAGAGAGTTATTGGAGTAGCCCATGGCTTCTCACACAGGCCTAAAAACTACACAAGCTGTCCTGGGTGCACCTCAGACCCACATGACTGAGAGTAGGGTCTTTGTGGGGCCAAGAATGATGGGAGTCACTCTGACCCTCAGAGCCCACCTGGGCTAGACTGGACCGTCCTCCCTATTCCACCACCCTGTCGCCTTTCTCCAGGAAGTTCTCCCGGATCCTTCCCTGCTCACTCCACCTGGTTCTCCCCTTAGAGCTCCTCTGGGAGACCATGTGCACACACCGAATCCCCAAACTGCCCACCCCACCCAACTCCACCCTAAACGTCTGGCCTCCCTCCTGGTGAACTGGCAGTATTCCCAGGAGAAGGAAAACTTGCTTCAAAGAAGGGTGTTTATTCCAGAGCTTAAAAACAGTCTCTCTGTTCCTGAGTCTTGGTTTCCTCTTGCACACAGCAAGGACAACATCCCTGCCACTCAGGGTGACTGTGAGGACTAAACAAGACGTCACTCGGCACAGGCCCCGGCACCCAGGGGTCACTTGCATTTTTAGGGCTGCCCTTGGTGGAGCCAGAGCTCCCCGATATTCATACAGATAGAATCTCTGGGGTCCTTCTCTTTCCTTGCAGGGACATGGGGAGGCAAGGAGACTGGTGCCCCACTGCCTCCGGGGCAGCCCTTGTTTCTTCTCAGGAAGGAGGGAACACATGCCCAAAACTAAGCTAAATGCTTTGGTAGATTGTCCCTTTGATTCTCACAGCCACCCATTCTACAGACGAGGAAACTGAGACTCAGAGAAAAGCAGCAGCTTGCTTGGAGTTACACGGCCTTCTCTGCCAGGTCCGGACACCCCTGCTCCCGGCAGGCCCTGAGAGATACCTTGATGCTATAGAACACACTTCGTTGCAAGTCCTGAGAGTTTGGGCTGGCCTTGCCTTCAGGTATGTCTTCTGTGCTCATCATGGCCTTGGTGTCCTTGTCTGACATCCGGGGCTCCTCACCCACTGGACCTGTGGGACAGACATCCAGGAGGTGAGGGTAGAGATGGAATCCCAGAGGATGTCCCTGACTCAGGTCGCCCAAGGTATTCCAGGCGTTGGTGAGAATCTGAGAGTCTGAGCACCTTCAGCCTCCCTGAGTCCCAGTGATGGGAGGGCCCTTCCTAAGAGGGTATGTGCCCCACGTGCCCATGCTGGCCAGATCCTAACAGGAACCACCTATCTCACAGTGACTTCATTCCTTTCCCAGCATAAACCTTCCTTCTAGGGAGGCATTGCTGGCCACACTACATAAGTTTCAAGCAAGGTCTCCAGGAGTAAGAATGTGCAGACTTAGACCCCCTTGGGCCTGCAGCTGTGAGACATTGGTGCTCATAGAGGCTGAGCGGCTGTGGGTCTGTCTGGCTCGGTGTGGGATCACAGGTTCAGGGTCAGGTGCAGGGTCAAGGCTTGGTCCACGGTCAGGTAAAGGCTTTTCCTGGGAGTAGTTCAAAACAGTTACCAACACCCCCACAGGGCACCACCCTGCATGTAATCATAGAGCTAACTAGCCCAATCTCTAACTCATGAATCAAACCATATTGCTAGTTGGTGCAGAAATGGCCCTCAGAGGTCATCCCATTTAACTACCTCCCTCACCCTGGACAAACTGAACTCCCCAAGTGTTGTGATGACTCAGGAAGCAGAGCTATGGTTAGAACCTGGACCCTTGGCCCCATCAGGCATGTCTGGGTTTTTCCACGGAAACCGGTAACATGTCAGCATTTTACTCACTGCAGTGAGAGGAAAGCTGAACCCCCACAAGGGCATCTCCTGGGGCCTCCTGACGTTCTTTTGTTTTGTTTTTTAATTTTTTAATGTTTATTTATTTTTGAGAGAGAGAGAGTGCAAGCAGGGGAGGGGCAGAGAGAGGGAGACACAGAATCTGAAGCAGGCTCCAGGCTCTGAGCTGTCAGCACAGAGCCCGACGCAGGGCTCTGACCCACAAACCATGAGATCATGACCTGAGCCCAGGCGCCCCTCCTGATGTTTAATCTCGGTGAGGAGCTTGAAGTCCAGCCTTGGGAAACTCCATGCCTCCACCTAGATGGAAACCCCCACCACCTTGGCCTTCCTCCTTTCCTGGGGCCCCACTTCCTGCGGAAGCCTCCTCCATTGTTTCTTATGTTTCTCAACCTGGCAGGAGTTTCCCCTCATTCAACAAGCTCCTTCTAGAGTCTGGAAATGGACTCAGGACACCTCTGACCCAGGTAGGGGGGTAGGGACTCTCCATCTCCAGACCCAGAAGGCAGAATCAGGGAGGGGCTACAGAGGCCTGGAAGCACCACAGCCAAGGGTTTGTGCTCCTCACACGAGGTACCTGAGAGCCTGAGGAATTTCTTTTTAATTGGGATATAACTCATATACCATAAAACTCACCCTTTTAAAGTACACAATTCAGTGCTTTTTGGTATATTCAAAAAGCTATACATCATCACCACTAATTCCAGAACGTTTTCATCATCCCAATAAAGAACCACATACCTGTTAGCAGTCCTGCCTCCCCTCCAGCTCCTGGCAACCACTAATCTATTTTCTGGCTCTCTGGGTTTGCCTATTCTGGATATTTCATATAAATTCATATACACAAAATAGTACAATATGTAATTATTTTGCGCCTTGCTGCTTTCACGTAGCGTAATGTGTAAGGTGCCTCCATGTTGTTGCACTTATGAGTACCTCCTTTCTTTTTATGGCTGGACAACATTCTATTTTGTGGATGTAAATCGCATTTTGTTTATCCATTCATCTGTTGAAGGACATCTGGATTGTATCAGGTGTTGTGAACATTCATATATCGTACACATTTTTGTGTCAACATGTGTTCTCAGTTCCCTTGGGTATGTAGCCAGGAGCGGAATTCCTGGGTCATGTGGCAACTCTGTTCAACTTTTTAAGAAACTACCAAACTGTTTTCCGAAGTGACTGCGCTGTTTTATACTCCCACCCTCAGCATAGGATGGTTCTAATTTCTCCACACCCTTGTTAAGACTTACTATCATGTCTCTTTGAGGATAGCCATCGTAGTGGGCATGAAGTGATATCTTGTATGGTTTTGATTAACATTTCCCTAATGACTAATGATGTTGAGTCTTTTCACTTACTTCTTGGCCATTTGTTTATCTTCTTTGGAGAAATGTCTATTCAGATAGCTTGAGGAATTTGAGGAAATGAAAGTGTGTGTGGCTGGGGAGGAGTCCCGATGGGGGATGTAAGTATTCAGAGGAAACAAGGAGATATTGAAACAAAAGTGACACCTGACCGGGAGGAGATAAGGGGCTGGCCCAGTGAAGCGGGGGTGGGATGGGCTCTGCGGAGGTCACCGAGGAGAAAAGGAGGTGAGGGGCTCCAGGTGAACTTGCCCAGAGGAGGCTGATAGGACGTTTGCAAGCCCTGGTTCCACTCACCAGCATAGACGGTCACCTACTACAGCAGAGATTCTGGGCTACACACTTTACATGCAACTCAGCCTTCACATGCATGCAAACCTCTCCATAGCTCTGTGCCTTTGGTGCTTTCGTTATCTCTGTATCTGACGAGGACAGAGGCTCAGCAGTAGCTAGCTCTGCTGATTAATGCTGGTGCAGGGACTCAAGCCCAGGTGTTAACCTCAACATCACTCCATGTTCCTTGCACAGTATGGATGAGGGGGAGATGCTCTTCTCTGTCTGAGCCCAACCAAGCCTAGCCAGGCCACCAGGCCAGTGCCCACCCAATAACATCAAGGGGTCAGGCCAGCCAGATGATGAGGCTGGAGCTGAGTTGGGGGGCGGGCAGAAGTCGCTGACCAGGAGCCCCAGCTCTGAAAGAAGTCCAGGATATGGATGAGGGAGGGGGACAGAAGATCAGTGGACCAGCTTAGAATGTTCCACCTTCCTGTGGTCTAGTAGAGGGAAGCTGTGGCCCCTGGGATCTGAAAGCAGCCACCAGTTAGTGCGCAGGGTGGTCAGTTGATCACTGAACACTGAACGGGGCTGGTCAGGCAGGTAGCCAGACCTCTCCAAGCTCTTCCTGTGGGCTGAGGCCTCTGAGTGAGCTGGCAGGAAACAGTCCAACTCTGTGAATAAGGACAAAGCTCCACTCGACAGGAGGATCCTGAGACCAGGAAAGTAGGTCCTCATCATGTGATATCTCTGAGGACCTTCCCATCCGGTGAAAACTTTGTCAGGGGTCATCCCTGACAGAAGAGCGGGCAGCTGTGGAGTTGAACCTGGGCTGGGACTGGGTATCCTGTGGGAATGAGGGGAGAGGCAGGAAGTCAGGCTCCAGGAAAAAATCGGAGTCTGTTTCTCTCCCAGGTGAGCAACCAGGTTTGGGGGCTTTAGGTAGGCCAGGTGGTTCCCAGGGCTGGAGCCCACGCCCCTAGAGTGGCAGGCAAGGGGTCTGTGTGTCTGTCAGTTGGTTACATGGCTGGCCACGCACAGGCCAACTCATGTCCACCAGCTGGTAAGTCATTGGTCTGGCTGTCTCTCAGAAGACTTGTCTGTTCAGACAAGCTAAACTAGCTAGCTAGCCAGTCAGACAGTCACCTTGAATGTCTGTCAGAGACCTTCAGTTCACTGAAGGATAAACTCTGAATGTCTGCAAGGCAGAGGCAGAGCCTCTGGGCTCTGGCCTGGGGTCTCGCTGCCCCCTCCATGACAAGAGTCAGTATTCTTCACACCAGCTGGATCCATGGTGATGGGGACGAAGGTTTCAGAGAGTAGCCTGACAGAGAGGACTACTTTTCTCTGCCTGTTCTTTGCTGGAAAGGCTCAAAGTCTGGCCTCCTCCAGCCACCTCCCAGCTGCAAAAAAGAAAATTCCAGGCAGGTGTGGGGCTGAGTGTAGGTTTCAAAGTCCTCAGACCTAGGCTCGAACCCCAGCTCTGCCACCGGCAGCTGTGTGAGCCTGGACATGCCCTTTCATCTCAGAGGAAACATCTGAGCAGTTTCCTCATCTAAGTGAGGCATCTAGGGGGGCTGGCTCAGGCCTGGGATACAGTAGGCCCCACTGAGGACGATTGCCCTCCCCTCTCCTTATAACCTTCAAGTGCTTCCGAGGCCACAAGGTCAAACTGAACCCATTCCCTTCCATGTGCACCTGACCCCTCCAAGTTAACACCTCCTTCTTCCATCCCTAGATTGTCTCTCCCTTTCATCCAGGCCCCAATTTACCACAAGACCTGAGGACCTGAACCCCTTCCCTCCATGCACACTCACTGGCTTTAGAAGCAATTGCCCAGGTTTCAATCCCCACTGGCTGCAATCCTGCTGTGTGGTTTTGGACCAGTGGCCCCTTTGCTTTCTCATCTGTGACAGGGCCTGTAATCCCTACATCCCAGTACACAAAGCACCCACCGACAATCAGATCCTTCCACCCCATGTTTAGCCTGGACACTGAAAGCCTGGAACCACATCTTATGGTCTGCACTAACTTGACCTTGCAATTCCACTGTCTTCATTAGCGTTTTTTCTTCTTACTCTTCCCAGACTGACCAGCTCAAGCAAATGGCTTGATTGTTCATTACAGGAACTTCCTGAAAGACTGCTCGACTGTTCAAGGGAAACCATCAACAGAGTGTGTGCCTCTGATTCTTTGAATCTCTGTGCACAAAATCCTTATCTTCTGTTTCCACCAACAAACTGTTGTATCATGATTCTTACCCAATCCCAGTCAAGGCTCCCTCTTCCACCTCCCTCCCCATACTAAAGGACCTGCCTTAAAACAAACTTTCAATTCTCAACAAATATTGACCTTGCCTCCCCACTCTGAATCATGCCAAAGCTTTGAGAAGTGGTATTATCCCTTATCATGGTAAACTTGGTCTTACCAACAGGTTATGTCAGTAATATGTGGGGAGCCAGCATGGATACAATACATAGCAGATGTTCAGTAAATGTTGTTTTATTCCCCATCAGGCAGCCAGTCTTTCCGTTAGCTGTCTATCCTGACACAAACTCCCGACAGGCCTCCATACTTGCTT